GCCTTGGGAGGCAGGTTGGTCGGCTCCCCCAGGCACTCACCAGCAACTGGAGAGGAAGGCAGGTGCTCTGGCTCACAGGCAAAGGGAGGACTGTGCAAAGCTTCAAAGAGCTGCTTGGCCACAACTGGCCAAGTCCTCTTTGGGGTCTGTGACAATTTTCTGTGGCCAACTCACCGCGGGTGTCAGCTATGGAAGCCAACAACTTGCCATAGGACAAGAATTGCACTAATATCAAAGAAACGGTGGAATAGGGTCATTAAAGAAAGGAGCCAAAAGGAGGGACAGAATAAAATGAGAATGGCAGAAAGTAAAATCTTTTTTTTTATTATTTTAAATAATTAAATAGAATTGTTAATCCTGCCTCAGCGAGTTGTCCAGTGGAGAGTTGATCACGGTGAGTTGTCCAGTGGAGAGTTGACCATGGCGAGTTGTCCAGTGGAGAGTTATCTCGTTCCATCCGCTTTGACAGGTCTCCTGCTGCACTGCATCACTTCAGCCACCTGGATGGGCTGCTGTGGGTGCTGGTGGGGAGTGCGGGTGGACCTGCCCGGAAGGCATTGCCACAGAACCAGAGCCCCCCACCAATTAGGGCTTCTCTTGCCAGTGGCCATGGCCTTTTGGGGCCGGGATGCCTCTTCCCTTGGTCAGGGACTTCCGGTGATAAGAGCAGAGCCACCCCATGAAATGAAGGGATACTGCTTGGCCCAGTCCTCGGGGTCGCTCTGGAGAGCAAGAGGGGCAGCATATGCACTGAATCAACCAACCGGCTTCTTCTTTCCCCCCACAGAGGCTTCTGCTGTCATGGCTCGCCGGTCACAGAGCTCCTCCCAAGGGGACAACCCTCTGGATCCCAACTACCTGCCGCCCCACTACAAGGAGTACTACCGCCTGGCGCTGGACTTGCTGGCAGAGGAAGGCAAGGAGAGCTACCACCGGTTCCTGGCGGAGGAGGCGGCCCCGGACTTCCTCTGCCCCTCAGAAGTTGAGCACATCACTCAGCACCTGCAGAAGCCACAGTGTGTCTCTCAGGAGGGAGGTGGCAGCACGGACTCCGGCCCGCTGGATGCAGACATGGACGGTTCCTCAGGCACTTACTGGCCAGTGAACTCTGACCTGGCCGTTCCAGAGCTGGATCTTGGCTGGCCAATGGTCTTTGGGTTCCGGGGAACAGAGGTGACTACTTTGGTGCAGCCCCCACCCCCGGATAACCCCAGCATCAAGGAAGAGGCACGCCGAATGATTCGGGCTGCACAACAGGTGGGAGAGCGAGAGGCAGAGCTGTGAGATTGTGGTTGTGGTTGTGGAAGGCAGGGAAGACGAAGGTGGTCGGAGATTCTAGGAGAGAAGCGGAGAAGTCGGCAAGACAGATGGCTTTCCCCTCCAGATAATAGCCTTTGGGCTATTTTTAGTTCTTGCTCTGCCCCCAGAAGTGTGTGTGTGTGTTGTGTTTCTTTTCTGACCGGTTGTCTCCTGTTTTTGAAGAGCTCTGGAACTGGAAGTGAGCTGCATGCCCACTTCTCAACGCAGGAGTCCAGTAAAGGGGGTTTGTCGTCCCCCCTGCCTCCCCCACAAGCAACTGACACCAAGGTTAAATTTCTCTTTCCACTGGGACTAGATGCCTCTTTCAAAACGGTGTTATTCTGATCACTTTCCAACCCTCTGATGCAAGAACTGTAGGGACTTGGTTGTCCCTCTCGATTGGCGGTGCATAGTTTCCCACTTGAATTTGTGGATGGATCATAGAGTTAGAAGGAGATATTTATCTCATCAGATCCCATCCTGCTCAGTGAAGAAACCTAAAAGGACACCCCGACCCTCATTCCCGCATGAGTTCAGTTTGAAAAGTCTGTGAGGCAGGGCCGTACCACCCACCACCAATAGATTTGTAGTCGAACTGCTCTGCTCTTTAGGGCTGCTTTCCTTACGTTTCCCCGGAATTGTTTCTCTCTGCTCAACTTGGGAAGTTAGGAATCCAGGTTGCCTGCTTCCTCATTCATCTCCAGGCAAGGCTCTGTCTCTGCAAATTTGCAGCTTTGACCATAGAGGAAAACCATAGAATTGTGGGGCTGGAAGGGACCTTGGAGGTCTCCTAATCCTTACCTCCGGCCTAAGGCAAGACTCTTTATAGCATCCCAGACAAATGGTTGTCCAACCATGTTTTGCCACCCTTTCCCCCTGCACCATCTTTGGGGAGTGACCTTTGCCCTAGGGCTCCTGAAGGAGACCGGCCACGCTGCTCTCTGCCTCCCTTACTCTTTCCTGCACTCTCCTGTTTGCAAGATGACACACCGAGCCGCAAACTAGTCCTGCTTGTCTGGTGGGCTGTGCAGAACAGAGCTAAAACCTAGAAAACCGAGGTGAATGAGCTATGATGGAATTGAACTGTGGGAGAATTCAGGGGGTGACCCGGAGGCCATTTTTGCATGAGGCCCCTCTTCATTTTCACTTCTGGGTTTGGACTATGCTCACGCAAGCCTCCTGCACCCCTCCCCATCCAAGGTTAGATTCTTTCTGCCTATCAGATCCGGGTCTTCTTATGATCTCCAGACTCAGAAAGGGGGCTTCTTTTGCAGTTAAGCTGGGGGACCCAGACCCGAGAGCCTGTTCAAAGGGAGGCTGCTCTGCACTGTCTCTGTGGTTGTTCTCCAGCCCGACTCTGGTGGTGGTTTGGCCAATTGGTGGGGACCCCAGAAAATCTCTTTTAAGAAATAAGCGGTTCCCCTCCTGTCCCGTCCCCCCGACATAGACACATCCAGACATGTGTAGTGAGCGTCTTTGGGGGTTTTATTGGCTGTTGCTGACTACATGTAAAATGTAAAAAAGTAAAAATCCAATTCTGAAATCCTCAAATGCAAAACCAAACCATTCAATAATCATTTTGATTTCCTGAGCCCATAACAGCGTCGTCTCATTTAGGCTTCCCTACTTAGAAAGGTATTTTTTAAAATGTCTACAAGATCATTGTGTATCCATTGTATCCGTCCCAATAAATTGACTTGCAATGATTAGCTAGTGCTTCAGAAACATTTTCAGAATAAAAATTAAATGGGTTTATATAGGTAACCATTGACTTACAAGTACAACTGAGCCCAAAATTTCTGTTGCCAGGTGAAACTGTTTTAAAGTGAACCGCTGCAGCGGTTAAGTTGGTCGCTATGCGAGTCTGGCTACCCCCAGGGACTTTGCTGGTGAGAAGGTCACAAAAGAGGATCACGTGACCCCCAGGAGACACTGCAGCCGTCATAAATACGAGTCAGTTGCCAAGGGTCTGGATTTTGATCGTGTGACCGTGATGCTGCTGCTGCAACGGTCGTCGGTGCAAAAAATGATATGAAGTCACTTTTCCCTTGCTGTTGTAACTCCAAACAGCCACTAAACGTAATGTGTTGTAAGTTGAGGACTGCCTGTAATATGATATTATGTATAAAAAACTACCCTTATTTTCCACAGAACACAATGTTTAGAACATTTACAAAACACATATTTACAAAAATGTCCAATTCTTTTGTAAGAGTTGGGCAAAGCTAAAAATGTTTAATTCACATTGCCTCCCTGTGACTTTTGCTAAAGTTTAATGTAACTTCCATACCCAGAATCTGGACCATATACTGGTCTATTGCTCTTGGGTCACTTTCCCCAGGACAGCATTGTCACCGTCCTCTCCAGGAAAGCTGCCGTGCTTGAACATCTTTGCGTAGGGCAGGGTGGCCCAGCCTGCCTCCTCTCTGCACCTCCGAACCCTTCCTGGGGATTCCCTGAAGGCAGAACTGGCCTCCTTGGGTGCTGTGGGTTGACAAGCCAGCCAGTGGAGACTCAGGGTGTCTGGTCTGGGCAAAGGGAGCTCATACTAGTGCAGTATGGCTGCGGCTCTCCTCTTATCAAAAGCGGGCTAGCTTGGACAAGAGCAGTGGAAGCCTGACTGGCTGAGTGTCACACAACGGAAGGCCTAGCCTGGAAACAGGCTGGCCTATCTGTCTGGGGTCGTAATCTGAGCTTTTTTCTACTCCCTCAGGTGGTCGCTATAGTTATGGATATTTTCACCGATGTGGACCTCTTGAGTGAGGTACTGGATGCGGCTGCACGCAGAGTTCCCGTGTATATCCTGCTCGATGAGATGCACGCCCAGCTTTTCCTGGACATGGCTGCCAAATGCAGAGTGAACCTCAACTTTGTGGAAGTGAGCACAGAAGTGGATCCGGAGGGATTTGGAGAGGGCAGGACAGGTGCCAGCTGCGGGAGCTGCCTTCAGTCAGTGGGCTCAAGAGAGGCAGACCTGCAAAGCCAAAGGATGGGCACAAGGGAGCCTCGTTATTTTTTGTCCGAAACGGCGTAGGGTCTCTTGCTTGAGCAAAAGGTTGGACTGGACTGGACTGGACAGAATGTTGGATTTCCGACTCTTCTGTTCTTCTGTCAATCTCTTCCTTTTGCCCAAGGGCTTGCTGCAGTAGTTGGTAAGCACCAACTCCCAATGGCTGGTTTTGTACAACATAGTCCAGCCATAGTCCAGCCAATGAAATGTTATTAATCTAGGACACTGTCAGCACTAACATAGCCCAATCTAATGTTTGGTTCACTATGTTGTGTGAACCCAGAACATTGGATCGAGTAAATCGTGATTTGATAAAAGTGGGAAAGTGTGTTTTGAGAACACAGGGCAACATCTTACCTCATTCCAATGGACATAGTGCACACTGGATATGCCTTTTGTAGTTGGCAGTCTGTGTGCCAGTTTCAGAAATAGTTTCTCATGGGAGGAGAAGTTTACCAAATATAAGGAAGAGTTAAGAACTGTTTCACATTTTTAGTGAAACTGTTTCAGTGAAACAGCATCACAAACTTCTGCTAGCCATTGTTGGTTTCCAGCTGAAAGGTCTGACACGAGAGGCTCTCGGGGGTCGGCAGGAGTCTTTTTCCAGCCGCCAACCCATCGGATCCTGTCCTGGTCGAAGATGAAAGCCACTCGAGCCTCTTGAGCAGGGTGGAAGCTTCAGAATGGATGCTGCCCTTGGAAGCTTGACGTCCAATGGAGTAAGAAGGTCATTGGGCCTCGGCATCCACTGATCAGCCTCTTTCTTCCTTTGCAGTTCCTACGCGTCCGGACAGTTTCTGGCCCCACCTACTATTGCCGCACGGGGATGTCGTTCAAGGGTCACCTGAAGGAGAAATTCTTGCTGGTGGACTGCATGGTGGTGCTGAGTGGCAGCTACAGGTGAGCAGGGAGGGGGCGGGCAGGTGGGTGGAAATCGTGGGCATCCTAGCAAGAATCTAGGGGATAAAACCAATTTCTCAGAGGAGAAATTGCTGATGAAGTAAGTCTTGACCATGGAACTCGGGTCCCACTAAGCCACCAGATTAATAAAGCGGCCTGCTGTCCAGCTGGCAATTGACCCTAGAGGTCCTCATGGCCAATGGAAACCAAGGGATCTGTGCCTGGAGGTGCTCAGGGCGTGGCTAGGGATAAGTGCTGTGGGCTGCAGCTCATGCCAAAGAGTCATTTTTCCTCCTCCTCCTCCTCCTCCTCCTCCTCCCTTTGCAGCTTCATGTGGTCCTTTGAGAAGATCCACCGGAGCATCGCTCATATCTTCCAGGGTGAGCTTGTGGCCAGTTTCGACGAGGAATTCCGCATTCTCTTCGCCCAGTCAGACCCGCTGGTTCCTCCGTCCAACATTTTAGTGAGGGCAGAGGCTCCGGTGGGGCCCTACAGCATGGCCACCCTTGGCAACAACATGCCCTTCTTTCCAAAGAAGCCTCACCTGCTTTTCCCCCGAGAGGACAACCTTTTCTCACCGTTTATGGACCGGATCGACCCAGACAGGTATTTCCTGTCTTCTTTTAGAAGAGACGACATGCTGCGTCACACCTTAGAGGGTTCCACCATGCGAATGTACTCCAAGAAAATGGAGATGGAGAACTGTCAGGCGGACCCTATGCGGGGCTACCTCCGTTCCAAGCAGCTGGAAATGGACTCATTTAAAAGGCACAGCTTCGCTGAAGGCACCTTTGAGAATTTTCAGTCCACAAAACAATTTTCTAAGCAGTTGTACATGAACAATTTGGACGAATTTAAAATTCAGTCCAGTCACTTTCAAAAGGATCAGTTTTATCAATACCAGTTTGAACATCCCCATGGGGCTAACAGGCCCCAGGGGCTTTTTGAAAGAATCCGAGGAGGCAGGCTAGGATTCAATGAACCAGAAGATTATGCAGATGGATTTAGGTGTCCAGAACTGGAATCCAATTTCCCCCAAGAAGGGCATCCACTGCGGCTGGATTATGTGCCTTCCAATTCTTCCAAAGAAGTGCGGCACGGCTCGGATCACCTGAATCCGGGAGGGAACGGTCTCCTCGGTCTCCCGTCCCTAAGAAGGCAAAACATGGGGCAGAAGTTTATGTGCCAGACCTCTCCCACGCAGAAGCAGAGCATGGAGCAGAGGCTTTTTCTGCACGACCAGGGCCAAGATGTGGAGCAAGACAAGAAGGTTCAGGAGAACAGGGCAGGGCTGCGCAACTGGAGAATTTCCTCCTACCTTAGTGGGTATCAGTCCGACCCAGGAGAGGAAGGCCTTCCGATGCCCATGGAGCCGGAGATGCACAACGAGGTCCTTGGTCCCCCAGAACCCCTTCCTAGGTACCCCAGCGACCTCCTCCCCACTTTCAAACCTCCCCTTCCACTTCCCAATGCCAAAGACATTTCTGGAAGTGACAGGTTGCCCGAAGAAGCCTCGGTGGTGAAACAGGATCCCTTCCGAAGCAGGATAAATCCCTTGATCCAGAGGAGTTCGCGGCTTAGATCTTCTCTTATTTTTAGTGCTGCCAAATTAGACCAGCCAAACTCATCCACCGAGAAAGTCCAGATGGTGCAAAAAGAGCAGACCTCCACCGAAACAATCAAGGATGCTGAAACCGTAAAAGCCAGCACTGTCTCTAAAGTGGCCGAGCTGTTGGAAAAGTACAAGTCGGTGGGGAAAGACTCACAAAGCACCACCCTCAGTCACACCAAAGCTATGTCTGCGTTTCTCCAGAAAGAATCCCAGAATGCAGAAAGAAAGTGCACTAAGTCGGTGCAGTACAAGATTCTGGAAAGCCAGGTGCTCGACTCCAAAGACTCCTTCAGCCCTTATAAGCTACACCCAGAGTCGGAGGAACAATTTGCAGGGCCTGCCTCAGCGACCGACTTGCTTAGCCCTATGGTCCACGGGAGCAGTAAAACGGACAAGCTCGCCTCTCGCTTCTACCCAATAGACCAGTCCAGTCTTCCAGAGAAGGAGAGCCTAATGTTTGTGGGAGAAACTCAGAAACTTGCCATAGCGGACAGGAAGGAAAACGTGTCTTTCAAAGGAGGAGATGGATTTGAAACTGAAGAACACAAGCCAGCACAAGCCCCAGTCAGCACCATCTCCTCCAAGAACCAGGGCTCCGACAGCGCTCTCAGTAAGCCCGATGAAGAAAGTTGCAAGCAGGAACAGAGTCCAAGAGAGTTTTTTAGGAAGGGATCTCTCAAGTTAAAACAGTTGTTGAATCCCAAAGCTGAGAAAAAAGCAGACGAAGAAACAGGCCTGGAGAGCTGGAGGCCAGATAAGTTGGGTGCAGGAGCCCTCAAGCGGATGTCCAGGAGCGATTCTCAGGAGATTACAGAAGAGGAGAAATCTCCCAAACCGGCCGCACCGGTGCCTGTCCTCAGGGCGAACCCAGCGCCTCAATCTCGACTGCTGCCCTCCTCCACGGCCAACGTCCTCTACAGCAGCAACCTCCGAGACGACACGAAGGTCATTCTGGAGCAAATTTCGGCCAACAGCCAGAAGAACCGGGCAGAGCTGGCCAGGCAGCTTCCAGCGGCCAGCAATCCTGAGCTGTCCAGGTCTGCCACAAGTTTGGACCGCAAAGGGGATGAGAGGAACACTGGGATCAGCAGATCGGAAAGCTTTGGGAGCCATAAGCGGGGCCTGCAGAGGGAGCCTTCAGAGGACCGGGATTCTCTCCTGAAGAGGATGGAGAGCATGAGGAAGGAGAAGCGAGTCTACAGCCGCTTTGAGGTTTTCTGCAAGAAGGAGGAGCAAGGCGAGGAGGAATGTGAGACAGACGCCAAGGACAAGAAGATGGGGAAGTTCATGCCAAAACTCTTGGGATCCTTCAAAACCAAAAAATGACATTGAGGAGGCTGCTGGGACGGCCCTGCCTGAGACCAAGGTTCGTGGCAGGCCTTCCATTTCCAAGCCCATTCTAGCATCAGGACAGCTGGGCTGAGGCTGGGGGAGAGGGGAAGAGGCGGGGGGGCACCAAGCAGGATTAAATGGCCCTGGGGGGAACTCAAAGGCCAGCATCCCACTAGACTTTCTTTGGAAGGGCTGGAGATTAGTCCCACACCTAGGAATTCCCTCCAGGCAGGGGAGAAAAACACACCAATATGAACAAAGAGGGGACAGTTGGCAACAGAGCTGCTTTATGTGCGTGTTCCATTTAAGACTCCCATTCTTAGGCACCCAGCTCAGGGCAACCATCCCGGACCACTGCCTCGGATCTTTTGTCCCTGTAGCAGCCTTTCCTTCGGGGCCCACCATTTCACTGGACATTTTCTTTGCGGGGACAGTCCATTTGGGGGTGGGGGAGAGGCTGGTCTAAGGAATCCACAAGGGAAGGTGCAGTCAACACAGAAAAACATAGAGGTCATCTGGTCCAACTCATTAGAACAGTGCTTCCCAAACCTGGGTAAATTATCCCAAATTGGGTAAAAGTGGGGTTTTGGGGGGGTAACGACACCTGACCCCATTACCCGATCACAACAGTCTTTTAAATGGACTTAAAGTGATTTTTCCTACATTGGGTAAAAAGGACTTTCTGATAGGTGGTTTTGGGTAATGAAGGAAAAGGTTTGGGAAGCATATCCAGCTCTCCCCCATCCCTCTTAGAGCTCTGGCAGCCTTTTGAATGATGCAGGCCAGGGTGGGATACAGGCCTCCAAGTGCGGAGGGTGCAGTGGGAGGTTTACTTCTTGGGATTTGGACTTCTGTGTTGCTGTAAAGGCGCCCAACGTAGCATTTGTCTGTTTAGCAGCTGCTCTTGTGTGGTTAATGAGAACACCCAGATCCCCTTCACATGTACTACTATCAAGTCATGCTTACCCCATCCTAGAGTAGTGCCTTACATGTTTCCCACTGAGATGCAGAACTTAACTATTCTCCCATTCTAAATTCTTCGTTTCAGCTCAGTATTCAAGCTGCTCTAGACCTTTTCAAATCTTCTCTCTTGTCAGGTACTCTCAAGTTTTCTACCCACACAATTCCCTCCTCCAAGCCCTGTGCCTCGACACCACCACCCCACTGGGGTGTTAGGGCTGAATGAAACAACTGTAAGGTGCATTCACCATTGGCTGAGTAATTGTGCCCAAAAAGTGCTTTCTAATGGCTGCTCTTCAGTTTGGAAGGAGGTCTTGAGTGAAGAGTGTCTAGAAACACTCTTAAGAATTTGTTGAGATATTAATTCATGATGTCTGTAAGATTCCCCTTGTCTACTAAGCTAGTAAGTCTATCCAGGGTAATAGTCTGGGATAATTTCTTTGTGACACCCTCCTGCTGGCTCTTTCTTAACTGTTGTATTTCTTTCTCAAATGCTCACAAATAATCTGTTAGAAGACAATGCCCAGAAGAGGTCAAATGGACAGGCCAGTAGTTCCTCAGGTCCTTCTCCTTCCCCTTTTGAAGGTGGGATTTAATAATAGAATAACAGAGTTGGAAGAGACTTTGAGAGTCCAACCCCCTTCTCAAACAGGAGAACCTATACCATTCTAGACAAATGGTTATCCAATCTCTTTTTAAAAACCTCCAGTGATGGAGCACGCATAACTTCCAGAGACAATCTGTTCCACTGAGTAACTGCTATCACTGACAGAACATTTCTCCTTAATATTTGATCTTCTCCAGTCCTCTGCAACCTCATCGGTCCTCCAAGTCTTCTGCACTTATCCTTACACCCAAGAATGTAATCCATGTGGCTCTGGAGCATTCAAAATAACCTAATTTCTCTCTTGTCCTCATCTGTTGGGGTTAGGGTTAGGTAACCAAAACCACTTGTGGGTAAGCCCAAGTGGATATTGTTGATTACCTATTATTACAAGAATCCTGCCAGACTGTCTTCACTTGGGAAATCAATTTCCCAAACTGATTCTACACTGGATTGTCTCTCTATTCCCTGAGAAAGAGGGCTGAGTGGTCGGTCCCCTTTTGAACTTCCCCAGATGAAGTTTCCTCAGAGCCACAGCACCATTTCTATCCTGGGGGAAGATGCAAAGTAAGGCTTTGCACCGTCAGTTTCTCTTACAAGGGGCCTACAATCTGCTTTATTTTTTTAATACATTTATTGTCCCTCTTTCCATGTTCTGTATGTGTCTCTTTTTCTCTTTGGCATTTGAAAGAACTCCTGCATCCTTGCTGGCCTCTTCAGATTTTTCCACATTTTTCTTTGGTTGGGTTAATTCTGACAGTCTGTTACAGAGCCCCATTTCTTAGAATTCTTCTCATCTTTCTTGGACCATTTGCTCCTTTAGGATTTCAAGTGATTGGATATCACCTATTTTCCCTTGGAATTTAGATAATTCATTCCAACATTTCTCTTTTCAGTTCCCCTTCCAGATATTACAAACTCAGATAACATGTAACTTTGCCTACAGTTTCAGTTACTTTGCTGTGGATGAGGATTGGGCCTGGGACAGGAGGCCTCCTTGTTTGTTCATTCTGATGAATGAAGCTCTCGGCAAAACAGGGCAAAAGTTTATTTGGGATTTGATTTGCCAAATTCCCCACTTTATCTGGGTAACTGAGACCTCCCACTATTACTGACAGTCATAGAATCAGGGGCTGGAAGGGACACCCCACCTTTCCAGTCACCTTCCCTATGGTACCCTTTTGGGAATCTGAATCCTGATAACCTGGTTTTCCCCCACTCCTCCTCCTCTACTCCATCATCTCCTCCTCCTCCTTCCTGTGTTTTGTCACTCACCTCTGAATGTCTTCTAACCTTCTAAGACAGGGGTGTCAAACTTGATTTCATTGAAGGCCGCATCAGGATTGTATTTTACCTCGGAGGGCCAGAGTGGGCGTGGCCAGAGTGGGTGTGGTCAGCTCGACATCACTCATGTCAGGGGTGCCTGTGGTGGCCCGAGCCCTCTGCCAGAGAAAACAGGCTCCTGAGCTCCGTTTTCGGCTGCATCGGCCTCCTGTAAGTAACCTTCTGCCAATGAAAACAGAGCTCAAGAGGGCTGTAGGCAGCCCAGCCAAGTTCTGTTTTGGCTGGCAGAGGCACCGCAGTCCAGTCTTTCACCGTTTCCAGGGTGGCCCTACGGGCCAGATCTAATCACCCCGCGGGCCGGATCTGGCCCCCGGGCCTTGAGTTTGGCACCCCCTGTTCTAAGAGGACATTTATATGGCTGGCTCTTGATTTTCACAATCCTGCAGTTTCTTCTTGCACCCCTTGAGAATCACCAAGGGATGAAGGGGGGGAAGGAAACAAGACCACCTACCTGCCTGCGTTCCAAGCTTTTTCCCTCTTTGCTCCCAGAAGCTCATCCTCTCAGCGAGAACTAGCCTAGACCGAGCCACCATCCACCATCCGAAGGGCTCCAACTTAGGTGGCGCTTCTCAGGGGAGATGAAAGGGCTGCCGCCCTGATTCAAGAAAGGCGGCTTTGCAGATAGAAGGTGATAGACCAATTGCTGCCCATCTCAGTACAACCGGAGTTGTACTGAAGAGGATGGAGGAAGGATGTCCCCTAGGACAGAGAAGGCACCTTGAAGCTTCTGCAGAATGGGAAGCACCACTGAGGTCCGAAGAAAGAATTGCAGTGCACTGCGAGACAGGATGGGAGGGCCTCCTCACACCCCTCTGCACCCTCCTAGGTGGGGCGTGAGAAGCTGGTTCCCAGGCTTCCTTCCTGGGGGTGGGGAGCTGCTCCTTCCCAGTGAGCTCTGGTCCTCTGGTACGGCGTGCTTTCTCCTCAGCTTAAGGGCTAGGTGGAAATGAACAGAACCCTGTAAAGAAATGTTAAAGGACCTTTAATCAGGTTGCCTTGCTTGCCTTTGCTAGGCTTGAAGGAACGTCAGGTATGGCTGCCACTTGCAATTCATGGGCTTGCTGGCTGTGGCAGAAACACTAAATTGGCCAGAATTGGGCCTCGTGTGCCTGTCGGTTGTTTCTTCCCCTCTCCCTCCCTCCCTCTCTTCTCCCAACTGGTCTGGTAAATGGCATACTAACCTTTGTTGCTCCACTTCAATACTAGGTCAAAGAAGGGCATTGAGGATCTTATCCCACTGAGAACTTCAACCCATCCAGATGCTGTATTACCTCTAGGAGCAAAACCACTTGCCCCCCAGAGCCAGCCGTTGAAGGCCAAGCTCTAGATCTTCCTGGAAAAGCTGTTCAGCTGTGGAATCACTTGCCTAGATCTCCCCCTTCCTGGAGGCTTCCAAATGGGGCTGGTTGGCCATCTCTCCAGAATGATTTGGAGGGCTTCCTAAGGTCTCTCCCAATGCATGCATTCTGTGACCCTGTCTTTTGTTAGACTTTCCAAAAACATCAGTTGACTTTCACGGACAGGATGCCGGACCTTCGGTGCAACCTATTTCGGGGCTCCCTGGGTAGTCTCAGCAGTCTAGTGTTGATTATTAATTGGGATTCTTCAGGTAACTTAGGCTAAATTACCACTTTATAAGTACTTTATAAGTACTGAGAGAAAGTGAGGGGTATTGGCCAAGGGGCCGAGACCCTGAAGCAAGCTACCTGAAGACTCCTTGCTCAGGCCATCATTGCAAGTGCCAGTCTTCTTCCTCCAGATTATGTATCACCCTGATAAAACATGTCCATTACTTTGAAATCTGCTTTCAATTGGGCAGTTCTTGAATCTTTGAAAAAGGGGCGACAGAATTGTTTCTAAGAGTATTTGGGAAGAAAGATAGCTCATTGGGCTTGAAGCAATTGGGAGGGGGGGACAAACGGGTTTATCAGTTTATCTAGAGGGCTGGTAATTCTGATTAAAGCAGTTATAAATTCTGTGACTGGAATAAACTATGCAAATGTACATATATTTCTGGTAATTGCTTCTTATCAAGTATGTGAAGGTTGGTTTTTTTTTTTTTTTTGTATGGGTAGGGTTTCAAGTTTTAAGTTTGAGGAAAACAAAGGATGAAGTGGGTGGAGCCAGATAACAGCAAAGCAGTGGTGAAATGCTGGATTTTTGGACTATGAGATCCATAAAGTCCATTACGTTTATTTAAACTTAATATCACAGTTGCTGTTTCCTACCTCAAAATGCTAAACAAAAAGCCATCACTGCATTTGGATGAGACTCAAGTTGGTACGATTTTGTTCCCTGGTTTGTATGGTTCACGTATGAAGGTGATGCTGCTTCATCAGCACCAGCCAGGGATGGTTGTGCACGCCGAGCAAGCTTCAACCTCAGGTAACTTACATATATTTCTGGTCAGCTAAGAAAAGTCTGTGAGTGTCCCTACACAGAGCACAGCAACTTTGTGGCTAATGGCTAGCAGAACCACAGGACTGGAAGCAGGCTTGGGGTTCCATGACAGAAGCACCCCCTGCTCCACTTCCCAAGCTAGCCATGGTAAACTACTTCGGTTTGTTAACAGGTGTTGGGTGGGCTAACTTCAAGCCAGTTTAGTATATGTGCCCCCAATGAACATATTCTCACATTACTGATTCCACATTTCAGCACAATATCTCTTTAACCCAACTCTCGATTCCAGCACAAAGTACCCAGAGATACCCTCGACCATAATGTTTTCTTTGTGGGGCAGACCAGGAGGCATCTCCAACCTGGAGCAAGTAGAAACGTGTCTTACTGTCTTTCCCTTCTAGGAAGGGTCAGCGTACAGTAGGTTAGTTTTGGAGAACGTGAGCATGGGAAGTCATTTACTTAACTTCCTCAGAATGCATCCATTCACACACACGCAGCCTCTCCATCTGGGTGCTTGGGGAAATCTAATTTGCCTCTGGAAGAATGGGCCACAAAATCAGCCACCTTGGAGCAGAACTGCATTTGAGCCTCTGGCACAAAAGAATGAGCTGCGGGTTGGGGAAGCGACCTCTAAGAACTGTGGTTCCCACCCTTTTCTCTGATCCCCACTCATGCATCATGCCAGCAAGACACAGCTTGTCATTCTTCTCTCCTTAGCATTAGTCACACTCCTTAGCTAGCAAGAATCAGGCTTTTTCCTCTGGATTTCCTTCCTGACTCTTCCTAGTCAAGAAGACAGTCTCCTTGGTGGAGGGTCTTTTTGTTCCTTTTTGGATGGGGTGATGGTCTCTTTTGCATATCTACATATGTTGTTAATGTTTATGTGTCTATTGATGGCTGATTTGCCAGAGTGCCAGCTTCTAGAAATTTCCTGGCAATTTTGGACTGGGCCTGGTCTAGGATGGTCACATTTTCCCAATTGAAATTATGGTTAAATCTGTCTATATGTTCTGAAATTAAAGAATTTTCGTTGAATTCCACTTTTTTTGGGGGGGGGGGGGCTCTGTGTGAATCGTTGGCTCATTGCACCAGGTGAATGAACCTAAAAGGCGGTTCGTGGCCATCAGAACCAGAAAACATTTTATTAAAGGAGGGGGGGGGTCTACACAGGAGGGAAAAAGAAACGTGCATTTGGTACACGAGAGGCGTCGGAATGCCACAGATGAAACGGGAGAAAACGCCGATTAGACGCCAGAAAAGGCCGCCGAAGGTCTCCACCACGACTCGACCATTAATTCAACCCGAGGGCTTATTTTCTTGCTGCCCATCAGGCACCGAGGCACACGCATGGGCGGAAGGCACCGATCCGTCGCCTCGCTTGAAAAAGCTGATCCGACCGCCGGAGGGGCTCCCGCCGAGCGACCTTCAGCTCCTCCCAGGCACCGCGAGGCTGGCGGGAGAGCCCAAGGGACGCCCGCGCGGCGGCTAGGGCAGCCGGGAAGAGCGATATGGGGGCAGGTTCGGGCGAGCGGGGGCGGATCCCAGGGGCACCGCCGGCGGGACAGAAGAGGCACGCGACGGGGCGTCGGAAGGGGAGGGGCCTCGGGGAGGCCGGAGGGCGGGCGCTTCCGCTAGCGGGCCAGGCGCGCGTGTGAAGGCCTCACGTTGCCAGGGCAACCGCATCTAGCGGCGGCAGCAGCCGGGCCGGAGGATGAGCGGGGCGGCGGCCGAGGTGGAGGAGCCGGTGGCGCGGCGCTACGAGATCAAGAGGCGGCTGGGCAAGGGGGTGCGCGCGCGGGGAGGGGAGGGGGCTTCCCTCGGCTCCCCCCACCCGCCTCCGACCCTCGCTGACCCCCGGCCGGCCCCTCCCCCATAGGCCTACGGGATCGTGTGGAAGGCGACGGAGCGCCGGACGGGCGCCAGCGTGGCTGTCAAGAAGATCTTCGACGCCTTCCGCAACCGGACCGACGCCCAGGTGAAGCCCGCGGGCGGGGGGAGGCAGATTCTCGGGCGGGGGGAGAGGCTGCGGAGGGGCTCGGCGGGCGCCCGGTGGCTCCTCCTCCCGCCCGTGCAAGCGTTGCTGCCGCTCTTTCCTTGCAGAGGACCTTCCGGGAGATCCTGTTCCTCCAGGTGAGCCTCCGCGCCGGGCCCCTCTCGCCTCGCCCCACGGAGACGGCTGCTGAAGGGAGCGCGGGGCTCCGCGGAGCCGCGCGAGCTCCGCCCTGAAAGGCGTCCGGGGCTTCGGAGCCGAGCCCGCCCGGCACCCTCGGGGGTGGGCGTGGGAAGGCGCCTCCGCGAAGGAAGCAGCACAGCGGGCAGAGGCCTCCCCCCGCCGCCCGCCTCGGCCCTAGTTCAGGGCTGGCCTTGCTTGGTCAGGCAGGGGCCCCGGGCGACCCCCCCCCTCCTTTCCCCCTCAGCTCTCGTCCCTTGTCTTGGGAAGCTGTTTTTTTCCTGAAAGGTTTGAAACAATCCTTCTAAAATACTTGAAGACACCTGAGAGTAAGTCCTGTAAGTTCCTGGGCAATCTTTTGAAATAGATGTTTTGGACAGTTCTTTATACCAGTATTTTTGGGTTTGTGTATGGGTTTCAATAGTTTTTCAAGAAATAATAGATTTTATATAAAGAATTAACTCTTAGACCACAGTGTATATAAAAAAGACTTTGCAACCTGCAAGTTTTTCTTAGAAGGGCTTGCTTGGTTGGTAACTATTGAGGTGGCCAACTGTTTACTTGTATTCTGCAAAAGCGACAGACTTCCTATTTGCCCCAGCTTACAGTAATGACAATAATTAATTAAACTTGTATGTTACCTGACTCTCAATGAAATTGGGCAGCGCACAACAATCAAAAGTACAATAAAATCAATAAAAAATAAAGACAGTAAAGGGAGATCACAGTGAAGTTGCCGAAGGCCTGGGAGAAGAGTGTATCTGGCAAAACAGAAGTGTTCCATGGGCATATTGAGGCATTAATATTTATGCCACCACATTCTGGACCATTGAGGTTTCTGGCTGATCTTCAAAGGCAGCCCATGTAAAGTGTGCTGCAGTATTCAAGGTGCAAGGTGACTAGGGCATGAGTGATTCTCTGAATGACACCCCCCCTCCCCCATCTAAAGTTCAACTGGTGCATGAAATGAGTTGTATGAAGGCCTTCCCGGTCACAATTGATACCTGCTCTTCAAGCAGGAGTTGTGAAACCAGGAAGTGTGAAATACTCATACATCTGGATTGTACACCAACTTGGCCAGCCTGAAGTCAAAAGATGAACTGAAAAGTATAGCTCTAAATCAACTGGTGATCCAACTCAGTTTCAGATAGATATTGAAAAGGAGGAGAGTAGAATCCTATAGTGCCCTACACACTCCAACCAACTGGAGCCTGCCCTAGAAAAAGATGAAACCCAGTGTAATTGTGGGCCCTGATCTCCAGCTCGGAAGGATGGAAGCATAGGCCAGGGCTGTGTTGGTCTTATGTCTTGCAGGAATTTGGAGGGCATCCGAACATCATTCAGCTCCTGAACGTCATCCGGGCTCAGAATGACAAGGACATTTATCTGGTTTTCGAATCCATGGGTGAGCTCTTCCCAGCTTCCCATGAGAGAGGGAGGAAGGCAGGCAGCCAGCACCAGAGAAGTCTATCCAGCTGGATTCAAATCCTAGAAGTTTGCTTGTTTTTAACTATTTATTGCATTTTCACTTACAGTTATTTATATTGTTGTAAACACTTAGGGAGGCTTGTTTCTTGAAAGAGGGATATAAAATAATTGTAATAAATGAGTAATAAATTCTAGGAACTAGTCAGTTGCCAGGAATTAACACTGCTTCAAAGGCAGCAAATAAATAAATAAATGCAAATTTGTAAATGCCATTTCAAACTAAATCTTGAATGGAAGATAAACTTGTGGAGATGATTTGCAAGACAAGGGTCTTAGGGTGGCTTGAATTGTTCAGCAATTTGCAGAGTTATTTCAGGGTAATAAAAATGTGTTAATAATGGAAGTATATAGAGGAATCCTTTAGTGGGTTAGGGTTTATAATGGGACGCTGTGCTCTGCCAATAGGGAACCCTAAAATTAAAGCCAAATATCTCATTCCACAATGTTTGTGATGATTCTGCTCAAACAATGCTAGTGATGTGTTTTGGCCTGCAGCCACCCTTGGAACAACAGCTAGGTATCGCGAGCATGATGGAACGCATTCAATATTGCTGCTTTTATGTCCCCTGTTTCAGAGACAGACTTGCATGCAGTGATCAAGAAGGGAAATTTACTGAAAGACATTCATAAGTGCTACATCCTGTACCAGCTTTTGAAAGCCACCAAATTTATCCACTCAGGAAATGTTATTCACAGGGACCAGAAGGTATTTATTTTATTTATTTATCAAAATTTAAGCCTGCCCTCCGATTCCTCTAGGCACTTACAAATAAAAAGACAAAGGACTTAAAAAAAAAAGATACAGGTGACCAGAAAAACAGAATTTCAGCCACAAACAACTACAGCTAAAGGAGCTCCACAACCACACTCTCCCTAGTTGGAGAACAACTAGGTGTTTCATAATCTCTTAAAAGCCATAATGTGGAGGTTGTGAGAATCTCTGAGAGATATGATTCCAAAAGCAAGTAGTGTAAGAGCAGGTGCGTTTCCTGGATACCTCAAGGTGACTCTGTTTAATCAGTGGGACACAGAATTTATCTGCCCTGCTTGCTTGCTTGCTTGTGCTGACAGACAGAGAGTCAGAGGCCAGTGGAGATAAACAGTCCTGCAGGCAGCCAGGCATTCTGGCAGGAAGGGTCTTATGCATGAGGAACAAAAAATGGAATTCTATTGGAAACCATCTGGTATCCAGTACAACTTGCAGAATAACGCAGTTATATACACATAAAGCAGTCATCCCGTCACCGCCTGCCTTTCTGTGCTCTGGATCACCAATAGGCTGAGGCTTTCAGATGAGCAGCCCCATTTAATTGTGAGGTGACTAGTGCAAGAGTGGCTGCCTAAAGTCTACTTGGGCCAGAAAAGGCCACAATTGATGGCACAGATGTGCTTGTGTCAAGGTCACGTTAGGCAGAACTTCTACCTATTGTTTGAGCAACAGCTGAGAGTGCTTAAATTTAATATAAATCTTGAATGGAGAAATGCAGCCCCCATTGGGAGTTAACAGTGAAATATCTCCAGATCCTGATGGTCCTAGCAGATTCAGTGATTTGGACTTGGCAGGTTGAACCCTGAGCCTGTTCCTCTCCATCCAGCCCTACATAGTTTCCAGGCACTTGGCTAGGGTTTGGCCACATCCCTTGGCCAGCCATACACAACTGCATATCATCTCCATAGTTTCACTTATCTTCCAAGCCTTTCCAAAGACTTCATCCAAAGGCTTCATGTGTACATTAAGGAGGCAGCATCAAAGCCTGAGCAAAGGACCAAGGGCGTGATTGCTCCACATCTGTCAACACCAACTGAAGGTAGCCAGGGAGAAATGAGGAGAAATGCCATAAAGCAGTGCCTCCTAGCCTCAACCCACCCATCCACCCACCCAAAAAAAAAAAGCTGATTCAAAAGGATACTGGGGTCATCGGAATCTGTGGCCCTGAGAGATCAAGGAGCATCAAGAGGGATATCAAATCATGAACTAACATAACTAGCATTTTTATACTGAATCCTGGCTTGAAACCTGATTGATCTGAGTCTAGACAATCTGTTTCCTCCAGAGTCTTCTGAAGCTGAAGCCCAGGCACCCTCTCTCTATCACATTCCCTGAAATGGGAGTTTTGAGGGTGAGAAGGTGTCACAGCCTCCTTTAATTTATTCCTATTTATGTAGAAAAGACTTACATTAATGAAAATAAGTGAGAACAAAGTGGGGACTGGATCATCTTAACCATGCCCAAACTTCTTCGAGGCACTTCATTTACCTATTACATTTTTATACTTCCTCCCCTGGGTTGTATAGTTTATTGTTTAATTATGAGGTCAGTTAAATTGAGAGAAAGTAATTAGCCAGTTTGTGTCATGGTGAAGGCATCAGGCTAGAAACTGGGGGCCTGAGAGTTCTAGTCCTGCCTTTGGCATGAAAACCACCTGAGTGACCTTGGGCTGGCCATCACCTCTCATCCCTAGGAAGGAGGCAATGGCAAACAACTTGTCCAGGTGGTCTCAAGCATCAGGTACAATGGAATGGAATTGGGGGGAATCAGGCCTAGGTTTGGGGGTGAGTTTCATGGCCCATTTCTTGGCTAAATCCTAGCCAAATACCAGGGTCGTCTTAACAGCTTTATGGGCCCTGGGCAAAGCAGTGTACTAGAGTCCCTATGACTACTCACAGGAATAAAAATGGTAGATAGAATTAAATATATATTAATTTTATTGGCATTTCCAACAAAATAGATGTTGAAACATTAAAAGCATGCTGTACAGCAATGACTAATCAACATGATAAAAGATTTGAACAATACACGAGGCTTGAAAAACAAAATAATACCCAGTAAGCCTTACAGTTGCTGTATTTATTAGGATGCAAGGTTCATTGAAGGGTTAACATGTTGTTAACCCAGATTAGTAGGGCCCACGGGCAAGTACCCATCGTGTGTTGAGACAGCTGTGCTTGATACAAGAAAGGCAACGAAACCTTTGGCTGCTGGGTAATGGGGGGGGGATGCACCCCAGCAATGGAGAAGAGCAACCTTGTGCTAGGTGAGGTTGTCTATTACAGACATGCTCCCCTCTAACCTAAGCACCATTATCTTGCATGCACAGTCTCCAGAAAATCCACATCACTTGTCAGTTCAGGTTTAAAGCAGGCTTTATAAAAGAAGATTTTAAAACATTATACTGGACAATGAATTATTATTTTAAGGGAAAGGAGCCAGGCTTTCCCTCCCCTCCGAGGTGCCATCCTCCCCTCAAAAAACATGTTCTCCATCCTATTGCGGTCCTTAAATGCATTTCTTTGATTAACTGGAAAGTGTTTTGGAGGAGAAGCTCTTCTGTTTTATCGCTGCTATTCCAAAATAGGGCACTTCCTTTTTTTACCTCCTGTTCGCTGAATTGGGCATAGCAGGATGCCAGTGGGTCGAGTGATTTGATGGTTGTATGAGTCCCTCCCCCACCGTTCCTCTTTTCATCACCCTTCACTTCCAGCCTTCCAACATCTTGCTGGACAGGGACTGCTTTGTGAAGTTGTGTGATTTTGGACTGGCTCGTTCCCTGGGCCAAATTGAAAAAGATGAAGGCAACCCTGCACTTACTGAGTATGTTGCTACTCGCTGGTACCGAGCCCCTGAGATCCTGCTTGCATCAAAATGGTAAGGAATTGAATCCGTGGGAATTGTAGAAGGAGGGAGAGTGGTTTTCTCCTGCTTTACTTTTCCTTCCTAAGGATATAACAGCAACGCCCGAAGTCCCAAGCCCTTTTGAAGGCTTAGGGGGAATTGAAACAAGCTAGATGTCAGGATTCCGGCAGTTACCCCCATTTAAATCATGAGTCTCGAGCCAAACTTCCAAAACTTCAAAAGGATTTATTGGGGGTTAACATGTCCGGCACTGCCTGGGTGTAGCCGACTCTGAGGCACATAATTTATTGTCACCCTTGACCCTGGTTTCCCCCACCCCTTGGCTGTATCGTAGTTCATATTCTCCAATGGGACACATCCATAGCCAAGAGTCATCAATCATTTTCTCCAGTTAGAATTTTGTGCGGCAGAAACTTCAGTCACCTAGTTACTATCTTTGAAAACTATTTATGGAATGCACTTTCAAATTCCAAGCTGCCGCAGTGCTCCCCCCTCCCTTTCTGTTGGCAGCTCTAAAAAGACCATAGAAATATTGTATCAGTTGACACTAGAGCTGGAGAGTGAACCTGTAACTAGGGTTTCATAACTAGATGCTTGTCAGATTATGACAGAAGGGAACTGTTCCCTGTAATCAGAGTTTGTGGCTTCCTGGGTTGATAATTTCAAATTTGTACAAACCTTGAGCCAATTTGAGGGCACAGCTTTAGAAATTAGAGCAGCAAACCACATAGCAGTTCTCCCCATTTTGAACCAGGAATAACCGGGTGGTTTTCTTGGTCCAAAGTATCCAGTTAGAGAAGAGCTTGTGGCTCCATGTGTTGCATCTGAAAAAGCTTCCCCAAAATGTCCATATTCTCCAGAGCTTCAGCTGGAAGCAGGCTTTCCTGTGAGCGGTGAACATGTCACTTCCAAAGCTCCTGCCACTTCTGGGTTTATAGCTGCTGGAGCTCTTTTATTTATTGAGTTTTTCCATAATTAAAGGATAACTCGTGAGCCAATAAATTCAAATAAGAAATGGCAAAATGCAACCTCTTAAGAGTTGCACTCCTTTAAAAAAAAATTTCTTCTTCTTGAGTTTCAAAGGTACAATCTGTAAAGCGACACCAATATCTTGGTGCTTTTGATATGCCTGTCTTCTCCCACTTCTTCATCCTCTATATTTTTTCCTTAATGCTCCCTAAAAATTGCTACCAATCTTATTGGTGGGAAACCTTAAAACAGCAATCTTTTAAAGGGGAACTTAAAATACAAATGTCCCCAAATCCTAGAGAGACTGAATGAAAGCAAGAGAAATCACAATGTCAGGGCTCTGGCATCCACCCCCGTTTAAATCATGAGTCGCTAGCCTCATTTCTCAAAGTTTAAAGAAGATTTATTCGGAGTGAGCATGCTGGTGCTACCTGGGTGCAGCCGACTCTGAGACACATCATTCCTTTCGCCCTTGACCCTGGTCTTCCCCCACCTCCTGGATGTATATTCTCCAATGAGACATCTCCATAGCCAAGAGTCATCAATCAGGCTCCCCAGTAATAATCTTGCACGCCAGAAGCTTCAGTCACCTAGAGATTATCTATGAAGCATTTAAGGAATGCACTACTTCCCCCACTCCCTTTCTGCTGACAACTCTAAAAGATCAGGGAAGTATTTTTGAGTTGACACACAAATAGCAATGGACCCATTACTCTGACCCAAAGTAATTGGCTCTAGAACAATATGGAATTGATTCAACGATGCTTGGAAGCTGCTCCTGGGGCTCTCTGGAGCAAACTGGAGGGAAAGGGCAGCATAGCCTTTGGGGGGGTGGGGGTTGTACCATGTGCAAGAAAACCCCTAGAAAGCTCTCTTGCTCTCAGTTGCACAATTCTTGTCGTTTTCCTTCCTCCTCTCTGTTTCTCCTATGCCCTTCTCTAATTTGCTTCCCAAATGGACCAGTCTGCCTTTCTCAAAATGTCCCTGGGACTTGTAATAGCTGGCCTATTAAAAGTTGGCATTCACACCTTTTATATGTGGGGAATCCTATCTCTGTCAATCCGCTGATGTAGTTCTTGCTTCTCACTGAAATGGCTTTTGATCAGCAAGTGTCTATGGAGATTCCCAGCCATCCAGGTCATGAGGCTTTTTGTATGAGCAGTGAAATGTTTTCAAACGTCCAATTGCCTTTTGGAAAAGCACCTTTGGGATAGTTTCAGCAAGATTCCAATTTTGGACAATGGGGCGGAAGGGGTGCCCCTCTTTGGCTTGAGCCTCGCAGTTCACTCCCAGCACACGGTAACTTGCTTGTGAGATCACCTCACCCCTCAGGAGCGGAGGCCGGGGCTGCCTGGTGCAGAGGGCTACCCAGAGCCGACCCCGTACAGTATCTGCTTTTAATGCCTTAAGAGATACGCCTGCCATACCCGGAGCATAATGGGGCAGGAGCTCTCTGGCAAATCCAGTCTTCTCCCTGATGAGCCATCAACAGCCAGAGTCAGATGCTGGGAGTGGTTGGTGTTGGAGCCGGCTGCAATTAGCAGGGACAGCAGCTCTGGGCGATTGATTCGAATTGGATCTCTGGATGTTGGCATCCTGTCTGTGATACCAGAACTATAGGAAAACTCTCCCTCAATCCCAGTTTGCAGGTAATACAACCAACAACTGAAGATGTTTCAAATTGATTAATCTATAGGTGCAGAATGTTCGTAAGGGACACGGTGGCTCAGTGGCTAAGACGTTGAGCTTGTTGATCAGAAAGTTTGGCGGTTCAAACTCCTAGCGCCGCATAACGGAGTGAGCTCCCGTTCCTTGTCCCAGCTTCTGCCAACCTAGCAGTTTGAAAGCATGTAAAAATGCAAGTAGAAAAATAGGGACCCCTTTGGTGGGAAGGTAACAGCGTTCCATGTGCCTTTGGTGTTTAGTCCTGCCGGCCACATGGCCACAGAGATGTCTTCGGACAGCACTGGCTCTTCAGCTTTGTAATGGAGATGAGCACTGCCCCCTAGAGCTGGAAACGACTGGCACGTATGTGCGAGGGGAACCTTTACCATTACAGAGTGTTCTTTTAGAGGGAAAAACAAAAATTACATACAAATGCATCCTTTAATCACATATGTCATTTTCCTAATTGCCTTACCAGGAACACACCATTAATGACTGGTTTAAGGTAAAAGCACTTTATCATTGATCATACATAATTATTTCTAATTGGCTTTTTTCCTGGGAATTGTACAGAGCAGTTGTTTAAACAAATGCTACTGGTTTCTAATTCTTGTGTAGCCTGTGCTTCCTACCCCCAATTCTCTTTGCTGCCAGCACTTTGGTTTTGTACAACTTACCTGCTATTATTCTGGCTTCTAGCTTGTTCTATTGCACACGCTAACTGTGACTCGAAACATGTCCACTAATGTTTACTGATTTGAGATCCCACACTATGCATCCTGAGGACCAATAAAAGGAAGTTGCGAATTCTGGAATTTGCTGCCATTGGGTGTGGAGATGAGCACCAATTTACTAGAAAGAGAATGGACAGGTTCATAGAGCGTACTATCCTCGAACACTAAAAAAACAGACATGCAGGCACAAGACAGGCATTACCTAGCTTGGCACTTGACACTGCCCTTGTTCTCATGGGCCTCAGATGAAGCATGAGCCTGCAAGGTGCTGAAGGAGCCGGTACAGACTGGGGCTGCATCAGCAGAGGTATAATGATGAGATCACGGGAAGCGGCATTTCTCTTCTAAGCTCTGCTAATCAGAGTGGCCTGAAATCCTGGCCCAGTGTAAGAAGGAGGCTGAAGAATAGAAAGAAGGTGGAGAAGAGTGACAAAGAGGGCCAGGGGCCTGGAGGCTAAATCTGTTGTGGAAGTGAGGGGAACTGGGTACATGTAGTCCAAAGAAGAGGAGGCTGGCTCTGGGGCGAGACACGGCAGCCTTCCTTCCACACCCGAGGGGCTGTCCCAGGGGAGAGGTGTGGAGGGCAGGACAAGGAACAGCAGGTGGAAGCTCTGCAGACTGTAGGGAGACCCAGGAGGCGAGAGGGGGAGTTTCCTGGCCCAGAGGGCCCTTCCGCAGTGGGGCAGGCTGCCTCCTGGAAAGATGGCAGCTCCATCGCTGGAGGTTTCCAAGCAAAGGCTGGCACCACCTGACTGGAGTAGGTCTGAGGACTCCTGAGGGGCTCGGGCTACAGTACTATATGTTAATTTGCAATAGTGGCAAACATCTGTAACTCATAGGGCATAGGAGGAGGGTGACAGTTCAGTCCCCAAGCTGGCAGGCAGGTGGTTTCCTAACGTTTTGTTACCAGCCTAGGTGCCACCTTCAGCAGAGTTTAGGGCATGTCCGGGTCAGTGGTGCCCTTCCGTTTATAAGGGCTTCGTGTAGTCGGTCTTGTGATCAGGGTCAGGGGTGGCTGTGCCAAGTGAGGCTCTTGTCATGGGGGGGAGGGGCTTACATCAGTGAGGCTCATTGGGAGGCGAAGTGCTTATATGTTAATTTGCTACTCCCTGATCACAATAAGAACTGCTGAGCAGTGATAGTTGAAATTGGAGGCAAGTCTTTGTGTACATATTTATTAAAAAAAACTTAAAATTGTCTAACTCCCAGTGGCCACCATGAAGAAGTGGGCAATCACTTCCGTTCTGCTGAAGCAACTTAAAGGTTGCCTGGCCATTTCCTTTGATTACATGGCCACCAGAAGGGGAAGAGTGAGAGCAGGCAGGCAGTGAGTGGTGGAGAGAGTATAAAGGGTGAAAGGAAAAGGAGGGGATCTCTAGAGTGACAATTTAACAGATGGCTTGCAAGCAGGAGATCATCTTCTTCCAAACTGTCAAATTGGACTGTCCCTCATATTTGGTGGTGAAGTATACAGGAGAGTATGGGAGTTGCCCCTGAGCCAAATTGGAATGGCAGGGAACATTTTGGGAACAGGGAAGCAAATTGGGCAATTGTATAATTTTGGAAGGTTGGCAGTAAGTTATTAAAGAATATCCTCAGAATCAACATAGAGAAATTATGCCATTTGTGACCACCACCACCCCACCTCGTCCACAATCACTGTGTGATGCAATTTTTTTTTTGGACTATGAGTGCTTGGCCAGATTTAGCCTCCGTATTCCTTTATATGACATTCGTGTCGTGAGCTTCAGAACGTTTCTGTCTGCCCTGAACGAAGCCTCGTGGCACAGCTGGCAGGGGAACTTGATTGCAGTGCCAAAACTCGAGCCACTTCCAACAGCTGAAACCATTTCCCCCAGGTCAATCAAATCCGGTGAACTCTTTTGCTACTTTTTCGGAGCAGTGACGCAAAGCCGGCCCCTCTTTCCATGTTCAGCGTCAGGAGCCTGCGGCCTCTCTGTGTTTTCCACACCGGGGGATGGTGGTGGTGATTAGCTGCCTTTTTTCTTCCTTCCCTGCAGTTACACCAAGGGGGTGGACATGTGGAGCATCGGCTGCATCTTGGGGGAGATGCTCCTGGGGAAGCCTCTGTTCCCAGGAACATCCACAGTCAACCAGATAGAGCAGATCCTGCGTGTCGTTCCTCCCCCCAGCGCAGAAGGTAAGAAGGGCTTCCCCTGTGGGTGCCTGCATGTCTCCCTGTCTCTGCCTAGATCTGATGGGACAGGCAGGTGGAGCCACCCAGAATTCCCTCCCCTTGCGGTAAAAAAGCTGGTTCGTTCTTGCATCCCTGCCCCTCTGCTCCCTCCTTTGCTGAAGGGAAACAGAAGGCTCCCTCAAGAATCTTGCCGGTTTGTGTCCTGGGACGCTTTGCGGACCCTGAAGATTTTCTGCTGTGCCTCCTGCTGAGCCCAACTGGCAGAGAGTTTCACAAGCCAGTTTGGGGGGGGGGGCGGGGTAGTCCTGGGGTATGAGATTGACGCACTTTTTGCCCCTGGTCTTCCCATAACCCTCTCCAGGCAGACTCTTGAGCGGCTTGGCCCTGCGTTCCAGTCCTCTTTATCAGATACCTTGGTCCTCAGCCACGCTTCAGAAAGGAGGCTGAAGATCCCCGGGGTGGCCTTTCTGTCTGTTGTTCTGCTGGCCCAGGCGCCAGCCTTCTATTTTATTTTATTTTAATTTTTATCCTTTAAAAACAAAAAATACAAAAATCTCACTTCCATTAACAGTTATTGTGTCATTGTATATACATGTTTCTTATTTTGTGACTATACATTATTTTTATCCTTATCCTTCACCCATTCGTACCACCTCTCCCATGTCGCATAGTATTCTCGATCCTCTTTGCCTTTCAGTTCCATAGTGAATTTATCTAGTTCAGCACAGTCCATTATTTTTTGAATCAAAACTTCATCTGGTGGTATTTTATCACTCTTCCAATTTTGTGCTAACGTGATTTTTGCTGCAGTTAAGATGTGTACAATAAGGTATCTTTTATCTTTACTCAAATTCCCTTTGATCATACCTAATAAAAACATTTCGGGTTCCAAATTCAATTTATATTTTGTAATCTAAAAAAGCCATCTCTGTATTTTCTTCCAGTATTTTTTGACCTCTATACATTGCTACCTCATATGGAAAAACGTTCCTTTCTTTTGTTTGCACTTCCAGCATTCTGGTTTCAAGGTTAGATACATTTTCGCCAGTCGAAAAGCCCCCCTTTTTAGTTTCTTAATTCACTTTTAACTTAGAGCAGTAATCCTGTAGTCAGGTATTTGCCAATTGAAAGATCTATATCTGCATGTATCTCTATATATCTTACTCAAACACCCCTTTTCTATTTATTTCTATACACAATGTATTGTAGTTTCTCCTTTATACAATAAAAGAGAGGGGTCAAGGTTTAGATTCTCTATACTCACAACAATATATATTCTTCTTAAACTCTTAATATCCTACTCTAAGATTATTTATCACTACATTTCTTAACCCAATAATCCTATTTAGTCAAGATAACTATACCAAATTATTTTAAATTAAAGGAGAAAACCACCTTTTTGATTTCTTATACCCACAATCTCCTTAAGACAGTGCTCTAATAGACAAATACATTCAAATCATACAAGTCATACAGATCATGTTAATCATATAAATCAAACATATTTCAATACCAGCCTATTTTGTTATCTTTTAAAAAAAAGTTTTATTGTTTTTTTAAGACAAACATAGACAAACACAACATAAAAACATCAAACCATCTTCCATATATATATACATACAGTGTGTCGGTTGGTTTACAAATTGTTTTGTGCCTCCACTTCATGGTCATCAGTTACAATTACATTCTATATGTTCTCATGTTGTCAATCAAATATTCCTAACTACATTAATATCATTGTTAATCATTTGACTGTACTATTATTCATTCATGTTTTACAAGATAATCCATATTTTACTTAATTTGTTTTATGACAATTCATATTATCATCCCAAATCTATCCTATAGTTATTTTGTAGTTATGATAAAAATAATACATCTTTATATATTCATTATATTCTAAAAATCTACAAATTTCATTACCATGTTTTATTGTTTAACCATTGATAGAATAGATCCCAAATCTTTTAAAATTGTTTATCTTCTTGTTCTGATTTCAAATGTCAATCTACTCATTTCAGCACATTCCAATATTTTCTTAATAACTTCCTCTTGTGTTGGTATTTTCTCATTTTTCCAGTTTTTAGCAAATATAATCCTAGCCGCTGTTAACACATTTACAATCAAATATTTCAGTTCCTTACTGTATATTTCAGGTAAAATTCCCAATAAAAATATCTCTGGTTTCAAGTCTATATGCTTTTTTGTCATTTTTTTCCAACCATGTGTGTATTTTAGTCCAATATTTTTTTGCATCCGTGCACATCCACCACATATGGTAATATGAGCCAGATATCTGATGACATTTCCAACATTTTTCAGATTTGTTCTTGAACATTCTTGCTATTCTTGTTGGGGGAAATGCTGCCTGTAAAACATCTTATACAAATTTTCTTTATATGCTGTTGACATTGTCATTTTATAACAAGCAATCATTGTTTCTTTGACTTGTTCTTCTACTTTAATTTCTAATATTCTAATTTTTTAATCACCTTTTCATCAGTACCTGTCAAAATCTTATCTAAACAGTCAATTTATCTTAGAAACCTTCTGTTTTAGAATCTTTTATCATACCTAGAATGTATTTGCGCATAGGAAAACCAATTCATCTTTATACCTAGTTCCTCTAGTTTTTGCATAGATTTAAGTTCACCCTTTTCATTCAATATTTCACCATATCTGTTTGTTCCTTTTTATATATTATAGGATAAGAAAATGCTTCAATAGTCGATAGCCAGACTGGAATTTTCAGATAACATTGCCTTTTAGTCTTCTCCCAATTTAACCACAAAGCCTCCTGTATATAATGTCTTCTGAAATACCCCTGTGTTTTAGTTCTTTTATACCATAGAAAAGCATGCCACCCCAACAACAGATTATGTCCTTCTAATGTCAACAATCTAGTATTTCCTAATGTTATCCATTCTTTGATCCACATCAGATTTGTAGCTTGGTAGTACAACTCCCAGTTAGGCAAACCAAATCCTCCTCTTATTCTAGCATCTTGCAAAAGTGTTGGTTTTATTCTTGCTTTCTTACCTTGCCATATATATTTCAACACAATTTGATTTAAATCTTCAAAGTAATCTTTTCCAAGCCTGATTGGAATTGTTTGGAACAAATATAAAATTCTGGGTAATATATTCATCTTGATTGTTGATATTCTCCCTATTAATGACAGTTATAAGTTTTCCCATTTCGCCAAATCTAGCGCTATCTGCTGCTTGAGTTTAATATCGTTATTCTCTTTAAGTGTGCTACATCTTGCTGTCAAATGTATCCCCAAGTACTTGATCTTATTTGTGACCTGAATTTTCAAAACATCCGCCAGTTCTTCCTTTTGTCTTGATAACATATTCTTTGTCAAAATCTTTGTTTTGTCTTTATTTATTTTCAAACCAGCCACCTTCCCATATACCTCTATCTTTTCTATCAATTTTAATGCTGTTTCTAGTGGGTCTTCTAAAATGAAAACCAGATCGTCTGCGAATGCTTGCAATTTAAATTCTTCCTTTTTAATTTTCATCCCTTTTATATCCCTTTCTTCTCTAATATTTCTATTTAGCACTTCCAAGGTTAACACAAACAACAAAGGTGAGAGTGGGCACCCTTGTCTTGTTCCTTTTCTTATATCAATAAAATCTGTCAATTCTCCTTCTATCATCACCTTTGTTGTTTGCTTATGATATATAGCTTCTATTGCATGGATAATTTTTTTACCAAAGCCCATCTGTTCCAGCTGTAATAACATGAATCGCCAATTCACATTGTCAAATGCCTTCTGTGCATCTAAAAATATCAAAGCCATTTGTTCTTCAGGGTGTGCCTCGTAGTATTCCAAAGTGTCCAAAATTATTCTCATATTGTCTTTAATTTGTCTCTTTGGCAGAAATTCATTTTGATCAGGGTGGATAAAGTTATTTAGGTATTTTTTTAGTCTTTCTGCCAATACTGAAGCAAAAATTTTATAATCTTGAGTTTAGTAGGGAAATACATCTATAGTTCTTGATTTGTAATGGGTCGGCATCCTCTTTTGGGACAAGTGTAATATAAGCTTCTGACCATGATTTGGGTATCCTCTTCTTTAACATAACTTCATTCATAACTTCTAACAATGGAAGATTCAACGATTCTTGTAGTGTTTTGTAAAATTCTGCCGGAAATCCATGTGGGCCTGGTGCCTTTCCATTATTTTGCTTCTTAAGTGCTTCAGTTAATTCCATCATCATTATATTGCTTTCTAACATTATTTCAATCTCTTTAGGTATCTGGGGTAGATTAGCATTCTGTAAGTACTGTTTAACTCTTTCATCATCAATATTCTCTTGTGAGTATAGTTTCCCATAATAATCTCGTATGATTTTCTTCTTCTCTTTACTTCCATAACAAGCTTGGCCTTGATCATCTATTAATTGCAATATTTTCCTTGATTCTCTCTCCTTTCTCGGTTTATATGCTAACTATCCACCTGGTTTATTTGCATCTTCAAAATAGTTCTGTTTCGCACCTCTGATTTTCTGTGCTAACTCTTTTTCCATTAATCCCATTTTATGTTTAATTATATCCATTTTTAACTTAATGTCCTTTTTTGTGGCATTTCCTGTAACTCTTTTTCACGTCCTTTATACTCATCCTCTAATGTCTTAGAGGCTAGTCTTTTTGGGATATTTCTTTTCCTTGTATAGTCTATTATCAAGCCTCTGGCATATGCCTTCATTGTATCCCATACATTCTGCATTGATGTGTCTTCTTTTTTATTTTCTTTAAAGAAGAAAGCCAGTTATTTCTCCATTCTCTGTATAAAGTCTTTTTCTTTTAGTAGAGTGTTATTTAATGTCCATCTAGATCTTCTTCTTTGTCCTTTCCATTTAATTGTCATTGGATTATGATCTGTCCAAGTACCTGTTTCAATGTTTATTTCTTGGAGATTAGCGAGCAATTCTGTTGACATCCATATCATGTCTATTCTGGACCATGATAAATGTCTGTTTGAATAGAAGGTG